CAGCCAGAAACACAGCCGCAACACGCCCGGGCTTACCCTGCCACCGGGGAAAAAACGCCTGGCCTCTGGACGGCCCCCTTGAAATGCCAGGGCAAGACCCCCAGCGAACCACATGCCAAAAAGCCTTTTGCCTGTACTCCTCCATCGGAAACCTACCCGAAGAGCAGCTGTCTCCTAAGCCCCTGCTATAATACGCAATCGGCGCAGCAAAGCCTGTTCACGATGAGCTCGAAGCCGGCTTGTGTTTGGAATTGCTTCTGAAACTTACTCCGACAAACGGGCAGATTCTCTCCTCGGAGAGGGGGGAGCCGCAGGTGGGAGCATCTTTAGGCAGCCGCAGCCTTCCGGTGGGAGCATCTTTAGGCAGCTGCAGCCTTCGGCAGAGCCCCTCTGCCCGAAGACAGAGGCTGCCATCTACCAACAGCTATGGGGAGACGCATCACGTCGTCTAAACCGAACATTTTGCTTTGGTTTAGATAAAAATGTTTCTGCCTCTGTTGTTTCTTTCCATTTCCAAACCTTTTTTTTTTTTTTTTCCCAGTTATCTGTTTTCTCAAGGCAGAGGACAAGAGATTGCTACAGCGTTTGAGCACGTGGAATAACATAACCTTCCACAAAGTGAGCAGATTTTATTTTTTAAACCAGCAGAAGTACGCACGCGTCCCGTCTGCTGCACAGAATGTGCCACTCAGTGACCCACAGCACCAGATCTGATTTGGGATTCGCTTGCCCCTTTCATCAAGTTGAGAGAGAAGCAGCTACTTTTTCACTAGCATTTCGGTGTTAACGATGGTCTTCCAAAGAGCTCTTTAAAATCTAACGCTCATGAAATAATAATGGTAACAATGCACAAGCATTATCTATCACTTTCCATCAAGAGATCTCAAAGTTTTTCACCAGAAATGCATATCTAATTATTCCCAGACAGGAAAAAAAAGGCACAACATGAGAGCAGCCAGATAAGCATCCTAACCAAAAATAAAATTTACAACTCCCATTATCTGTTCAAACGCCTTACCCACTCCTCCGCACCTTGTAACGATACAAACTTCTCCCTAAAGCCTGCTGAAATCCCTGGTGAGTCTTTCACCAGCTTCAGAGGTCTCAGTTTGAACCAGGGTTAAAGACTCTAATCCTTCACATGTGAATATGTCTGTGTGCTGCTGGGTTCGTGCTGCACCAATATGAACCAGCAGTCCCTCACTGCAGGATGAGAAATGAGACTGGGGCCTGTCCTGCCAGGCAAAGGCTTGCAGGAGACAGCAAACGAGACAGCCAGCAAGATTTGGAGAAAGATGCACATATCGTACCACTCCGTAGGCTTGTTTCGAACTTCAGGTGACAAGAGGGACTGGGTTTAACAGCTGCTCTGGCCTGTGCCGGAGCCAGAACTGAGGCAAAAGGAACAACTCTTTCGCCAGGTGCGCTTTGGCAGTGGCGAGGTCCATCTTCAAATTGTAGGGATGCCCAGTAAAAAGCAAAACGGGAAATAAACCCCCCGTTACATGGCAGCAGTTCAAGCTCTTGCCCGGAAGTCTGAGAAGCTGAATTACGCTGCCTTCATAACAAAGCATGAGCAATATTTCCTCACCTGCAAGCCAAGTGTTCAAACAAAGAGTTTTAAACAAATATAACTTTCCGGGGAGGGGGGAAGGTCATCGTTTTAGAATACATCAACTCAGTAGTTGTGAATAATCGTCTGTGGGTGAGACAACCATCCTCAGGAAATCCTAGCAGCAGCCCTTTTCTTGCTGCCACAATAGAGCTCCTGCAGCTGAGGGAAAGGAACCGCCGTGGCCCAGCCATCCCCGGGCGCAGAGGGTGCTGCCCAGCCACGGGGGGCTCGGTTCTGTCTGAGGGGACGCGCCGGGCCGGCAGACGTGAGCACAGACGTGCCATTCTGCTCTGCTGTTGAGGGAACCGGCCCAGGTCACTGCTGGTGCTTCTTCGCTCCCCTCTCAGCCCTGGCACGAAGACCTCCCAAACCTCTGCTGCGGGCACGTCTCTCCACAACCGCTCCTTCCCCCTCCACCTCCAGGGCTGCAGGCTACAGCACGGCTCACCCACACTGTATCTGAGGTGTTTTCTGACATACAAATAGTTTACTCGCTTCCACTTTTAGGTTTTGAGGGGTTTTTAAGCAAGAATGCCCCTAACTTTTAGGCAACAGGCATGCAAATAAGCTCAGCCAGCCGGCCCCCCCTCGCTCAGCCCCTGACCCTCCCAGCAGAGTCCCCAGCCAGCTGGCACTTTCAGGCAGCCCTGGTTCATCAGCAAGAGTCAAAACTCAACTTCTCTCTCACATACCGCCAGGTTTCCCTTAACGAAGCGCTAACGAGAAGCAAGGGGTACGTAAGGCTCCTTAATGCAGAACCTGCCAGTTGGCTGACCCGGCACTGCGCGGGCACACGCCTATGCACACGTAGTCAAACGCACGCTCAGAGCTGGTCAGGGGGTGCTGAGCCTGAAGGGAACAGCTTCAAAATCCAAAGCAATAGCGACGTCTGTTTGAATTCAAGGAAATCCCTGGATGCAGGAGGCAGTCAGACTGCTGCACAGGTGGACCCCATACGGGGGTATCTGTATCCTTTGGTGTCCACATTTTTCCCTCCCCTCATCTCACCGTGGGTATGGGAACTGTTCATCTCTTCCTCCTTTGTGCAGAACACCTCCATCTTTATCGTTCCTTTTGGGCACCTCCATCTTCACCACAGGCCCAGCCAGCCGTGCAGTATCTCTGTGCACGCACGAGTATATAACGCTCTTCTGGCAGCTCTTCTGGGCACTGCAGTTCTCGAGATTACAAGAGCCACATTTCCATCTGTTGTTGGCTACACCTCGATTGATAAATTCAGTAGTGCCACAGAAGGGTACCAGTGAGTGGAACCAGTGACGATGTTAAACGCATAGCAAGGTCTCAGCAGGCTTTTGCTAGCGCCGACAACACTGCCCTAAACAGTTCTGGGGCATATTATGAGCCAGCGGTGTGCCCTGGCTGCCAGGAAGGCTAATGGGATCCTGGGGTACATTAAGAGGAGTGCGGCCAGCAGGTCGAGGGAGGTTCTCCTTCCCCTCTACTCTGCCCTGGTGAGGCCCCATCTGGAGTACTGTGTCCAGTTCTGGGCTCCCCAGTTCAAGAAAGATGAAGAGCTACTGGAGAGAGTCCAGCAGAGGGCTACGAGGATGATGGGGGGACTGGGGCATCTCTCCTACGAGGAGAGGCTGAGGGAGCTGGGCTTGTTCAGCCTGGAGAAGAGAAGGCTGCGAGGGGACCTAATAAATCCTTATAAATATCTGAAGGGTGGGTGTCAGGAGGATGGGGCCAGACTCTTTTCAGTGGTGCCCAGCGACAGGACAAGGGGCAACGGGCACAAACTGAAGCAGAGGAAG